GTGGTAAAGCTCACTGAGAAGGCACTTGTTAATGAGTTGGACAGGTTGCAATCAGGTAGAAAAGCAATATTAAACAAAGCAGCAGTATTAATGAAGTCAATACAAAGTTTGATGCAGAAAAATGAAAAATCAATGGTAAAAAATGCTTTGGAAGACATGCTTGCGCTGTATGTTAAGGTAAAAGGTTTGCATAATGATTTGATGGGTTTATTGCCGGTTGATGAAAAAGAAAAACATGAAATATGGTTTAAAGCAAAAATGCTTCCTATTGATGAGTGTGTTGAGAACACTAAGGTGTGGGTTTCAAATGATGATGGTGATAAAAATGACAAGGTTGTTGATGATATAAACCCTAATGACAGTGTTTCAAATATCAGTAAATATTCAAGTCACAAAAGTGGTCGTAGTAATAAATCCAGCAGCACATCAGTGGCAGCTGTCATGGCTCAGGCAGACAAAGCAGCACTTCTGGCTCGTGCTGCAGAATTAAAGAAAAAACATGCATTGGAGGAGGAAGAATTGATGTTGAAGAGGAAAAAGGAACAGCTGGAACTGGAAACAGAAATTGCTGCATTTGATGCAAAACTGGCTGTGTTGCAAACTTTTGGAAGAAAAGGTTCTTCACAAGGATCGAGCAATGGCATGAACTCTTATTTTGAAAGGGAAAAAGGGAAAAAGGCTCATGATGTTTTAAATCCACTGGCAAAGGAATATCAACCTGGAGCATTGAAAACAACTCAAACAAGTGCAAGGCAGCTATTAAAAGATGTGCAACCTACAAAAACAAGGCAATGGATTGAGGATTCCTCAAAATATCTGCTTCGTCACCAGGAAGAGGACAATATTCCAGAAACATCTCATCTTTTGGCTCATCCTTTAACTGTTCAACCAATACAGCAGCCACAAAGCAATAAAGACGTTTCTGAAAATATACTGAATGTCATGCATAGACAAAATGAAATATCAGCAGCATTGTTACAGCAGCAACAGTTGACCTCATTACCACCAAGGAATATTCCTATATTTGAAGGTGACCCTCTTCAATACAGAGCCTTCATAAAAGCCTTTGAACAAGGAGTGGAGAAAAAGACAGGAAAAGCTGATTGCTTGTATTATCTTGAGCAATTTACAAGAGGACAACCACGTGAGGTGGTACGCAGTTGTCAGCACATGGCTCCGGAGCGTGGCTATACAATGGCAAAGGAGTTGTTACAGAAACATTTTGGAAATCAATATACGATTTCAAGTGCTTACATGGAAAAGGCTTTTTCCTGGCAACCCATGAAATCAGAAGATCTGAAAGCACTACAAGCCTATTCCTTGTTTTTAAGAGGATGCAGTAATGCCATGGAAGATCTGCAACACATGCAGGAGTTGGACATGCCCGTACATATGAGAGCCATTATTGCAAAGCTACCCTTTAAGTTAAAGGAGCAATGGAGGACCAGTGCTTATGAAATAATGGAATCAACCGGACGTCCAGCATGTTTTAACGATTTGGTCCTGTTCATTGAACGTCGTGTCAAGATTTTGTCAGATCCATTGTTTGGTGAAATGCATGACCCAATCTCTGGTGTCATTGGGACAAAGGCTGTTACCAGTTTCAGAATACCATCCAGCAACAGAGTAAAAGGAAATGTTGTTGCCACCACAGTAACTTCAATGGAGGTATCAAAAGGAAATAAAGAGCCAGCATCCGATGAGTGTTTTTATTGTGCTCACATACATCCATTGGAGGGATGCAAGAAATTTAAAGAAAAAAGGCACAAAGAAAAGCTCTCATTTCTGATGGAAAAGGGGATTTGTTTTGCATGTTTGTGTACAGGGCACCTGAGCCGGGATTGTAAGGCCCGTCTAAAATGCAAAGTTTGTGGACACCTCCATCCTACTGTGGTTCATATAAAAAGAGAAACACCGGTTGAAACAGTGGATACTTCCAACCAGTTAATTTCACCCAAAACATGTGGACATACAGGGGCCGGTAATGAAAAGTGTGTGCTGTCTATCTTACCAGTAAAGGTTAAAAGCACCAAGGGAAATCAAATAATACACACCTATGCATTTTTGGATCCTGGAAGCTCAGCCACATTTTGTACTGAGCAGCTGATGCAAAGGTTGAATGTTGCTGGTCGGAAAACCAGCTTCCTGTTGAGCACAATGGGGCAAAAAACAGTTTTGCCAACACACTTACTGAATGGTTTGGAGGTATCTGGCCTACACAGTGATGACTTCTACAGTCTTCCTGAAGTCCTCACACAAGTGAAAATGCCTGTCACTGTTGATAACATGATGACAAAGGAAGAACTGACAAAATGGCCATATTTATCAAAGGTCAATTTTGCAACCATAACAGCGGATGTGGACTTGCTGATTGGAACCAATGCGTCTAAACTGCTGGAACCCTGGGAAGTTATTAATAGTTGTGGAAATGGTCCGTATGCTATTAAGACAGTATTAGGATGGGTGGTTAGTGGTACACTGAATGGTAACAGTGATATCTTAAAAGATGATCCTCTCACAGCCGCAGTGAACAGAATTTCTGTGTGCAAATTGGAAGAAATGTTGGCAAACCAATATAAGCATGAGTTCAACGAGAAAGTCGTGGAGGGAAGTGAAATGTCCCAAGAAGATCTCCAGTTTATGGAAAGCATGGATCGTTCAGCAGTGTTGCAAGGGAAACAATATTGTTTAAAGTTGCCCTTTAAAGACAAAGAAGTACCAAACAATCTTGCAGTAGTCAAACAAAGGATGCAAGTTTTGAAGAAAAAACTCTTGAAAACCAAACAACTGACTGCATTTAATGTAAATAGATGCATCAAGCCAGTGAAGTTTGGGAAAATCAAACTTGCACAGTTACACCACTTTGCTGATGCAAGTGAACGAGGATACGGAACTGTAACCTACATTCGGATGTTGAATCCAGAGGACGACATTCAGGTTACCTTTCTGCTTAGCAAAGTCAGAGTAACACCATTAAAAGCTGTTACTATTCCAAGGTTGGAACTGACAGCAGCTGTTTTAGCTGCCAGAATGGACACTTTGCTGAAGATGGAGCTCAATTTTCAACTGGAAGCTTCAGTTTTTTGGACCGATAGTACTTCGGTACTAAAATATCTGAACAATGAGGACAAACGCTTTCACACATTCGTGGCCAACAGAATTTCAACCATCAGAGAAGTGTCAGAACCTTCACAATGGAGACATGTCAGCTCTAAAGACAATCCAGCTGATGGTGCGTCAAGAGGAATGAAAGTCTCAGATTTCTTGGAAAAGAACAACTGGTTGAAAGGACCTCCGTTTCTTTGGAGACACCCAGAAGAGTGGCCCGAACCAGTTTTGGACACATCACTGGATTGTAATGATCAAGAAGTGAAGAAGGAGGCAACAGTGAACACCATTAATATAGGTCATGACAATAGTCCTACAGACCAGCTCATCTTGTACTTCTCTGACTGGAAGAAGCTCAAAATAACAGTTGCTTGGTTTTTGAGATTGAAAGTCATGTTGCTGGCCCGAAGTCGTTCAAAAAAGCAGCCACAGGATCAGTCAAAGCAGACCATCAGTCAAATGGTTACAAAAAGAGGTGCTTTGACATTGGATGATTTGATGGAATCAGAACTTGCAATAATTCGTTATTGTCAGCACCAAAGATTCAGCAAGGAGATTCTTTCTTTGTCCTCAGGAAATTTTATCAGCAGAAGAGGACAGGTGACACATTTGACATCTGATAATGGCACCAACTTTGTTGGTGCACGAAGAGAACTGAAGGAAGCCTTGGCAGCATTGGATCAGGACAAGATTCAAGGAGCCTTGTCACAGGTTGAGGTACACTGGAGTTTTAACCCACCAACAGGCTCACATCATGGTGGTGTGTGGGAACGCATGATCCGTTCAGTGAGAAAGGTTCTCAACTCAGTACTACATCAACAACGGTTGGATGATGATGGACTTCATACAACATTTTGTGAAGTAGAAGCCATTTTGAATGATCGACCAATCACAAAACTCTCAGACGATCCCAACAATCTTGAACCTCTAACACCTAATCATCTTCTTCTTTTAAAGCGTAAACCCGCTTTTCCACCAGGCGTGTTTGAACCTAAAGATCAATACATGAGAAGACGTTGGAAGCAAGTACAGTATCTTGCTGACATTTTTTGGAAAAGATGGATCCATGAATACTTACCTTTACTCCAAGAGAGACAAAAATGGAATGCAAGAAGAAAGAGTTTGGTCCCTGGAGATGTGGTTGTGATTATGGATCCTTCCGCTCCACATGGCTCTTGGCCACTTGGGAGAGTTCTGAAAACCTTTCCAGATAAGAATGGATTGGTACGTTCAGTCAGGTTGCAAACAAAAACCAATGTTTTGGATAGGCCAGTGACAAAACTTTGCCTTGTTAATGGGGTATAAATCGACCTGATCATTATGGTTGCTCCTACTCTATTTAGTTTAAATTGTTATTGACAATAACAATTAGGGGCCGGTGTGTAGGAGCCAAATATGTTGTTTCCTTTTCTTTGGTCTCGATGTCTTAATTGATATGTGGGCGTGTCATTGTTACTGGTCGGAATAAAGGTAGTGATGTCATTGTTGGTGTCAGGCACTATTCCGGAAGGGCAAACAGGTTTTTGACCGCTGTGGCGTGAAGACGTTTGAATGGGAAAGTTAGCAATTACTCCTATCATTCACCTGGAATGCAATCAACATTAAACAAGCATTATCATAACAATTCCACGCTTAAGGCTGTTTTTTACGTAATCAAATCAGTCAACATCGGATCAACACAGAGCGTCAACCAGGTCCCGGTCTAGCAGCCTCAGAAGTTCGAGTACTGGACTTGACTTCTACAGCTGAGCCTCGATTCAATTAGATACTGTATGTTTTCCAGAACTGCAACAATATTCAGAGTATCATCAAAGAGAACTGAAAAGTTGCTTAGGTGTCAAAATGTGTAAAAGTTCAACAGGTATGATCGCTAACCCAGGTTACTTTGTTACCTTATAGATGCTCCTGGAAGAATCAGCCAGGAAGTCTGGTGTGGGTCCAAAGGAAGCCAGAACCCTGCTTAACCCCTCCCCGTATCGCTTTATATAATCTTCCAAACCTGGGGGTGTAAACACAGGTATGACCAAAAGAACAAACATGTTTCACATATTTAATAATAATATCTCTGCTGTTTGATGGTAAGATAATGCTAATGCCTGGTAACAAATCATCAGGACTCCCTTCAATCAGACAGATTCAGTGGATTCTTTTCATTTTCTCCACGGGTATTGTTGGAGGAATTGCCAGGGCAGCAAGCCAATGTCTTCTTCATTCCACATTTGATGGAATTCGCTGGAGGTCGTGTACTTGTGTTTACGGAGGTAGGTATCTTTGAGGGCCGCTGCGTGATGTCCTCACAGTGGTGCTTGTAATAATGTAATTCCTTCATGTTCACTTGTATTTTCATTTGCAGTCCATATGATTGCTGACCGTCACCCAAAAATTAGGATCAATACTGAGTCATGGTAGCCTGGCAAGCCAGACTAAATAAATATATTATTTAGTCTGGCAACGCTCCATTGACGGCTCTCGGTTGTGGGGAGGGTTCTACCGTTGTCTTTCAAATGATCTCCGCATGCTACTGGACAATGAATGTGACATACTCTTGTTTCACTCTGTTGCATCATCCCACCCACCAGGCATATAGAGTGCCCTGATTGGCCCACAAAGCTGATAAAGCTCTGTGATTTGTTCACTAAGCAGATAGAGCACTATGATTGGCCCACCATTATGGACCAATCACAGCTCTTTATGTGTTTGAAACCCCTCTAGAGAGCTGTGATTGGCCAGCCAGAATGCTGTTGGGGGCTGCAGAGGTTCCAGTGGCGCATTCCTAGACCAAACTTTGCAAAGCAAGAATTTGGTCTAGTTCACTAGGCTAGAGTCACGGCTTTTTCACACAGATTTTTAGCTGTTACCATTCACTTATATTGTTTATGCTATGCCAGCCCTATTCATTAAGCGGCCCAAGGGCCAGAACTGGCCCATCAGTCATTTTGAACCAGCCCATTGCCCACACACCTCTATTTGTTTGATAGCTGCTACTTACCATTTTGACCCAAATATAATACAAGTTTTTTTTTTATTGAAAATAATTTTAAAATGTGGGTTAGCCTTATAATTGGGGTCTAAGCTATAAGGCAGAGTTATGCGAATTTTAAAATGACCTAATCCCAGAACCAATCACACCCTTTCAAGCTCCCTCCAGATGTCGTTCCAGCATTCCACTCTCTTATGCATTGCTTCTTCATGGCTCCTATCCTCCAACACCTGGACCCCATGAGGTCTTTTGTGGTGGAGGTGGATGGGTCAGGACGTGGGTGCTGGGGTTTATTTATTTATTTAGGACAGTGCGTGTTAATGAACATAAATGTGAAAGCAGATTACATGAATGTAAACATGCCAGATTATAGCCAAAGGCTAATTTCCATCTGTTGTCCCTAGACATAAAAAGACATAATTCATAAAAATTCATCATTCATTCATAATAAAAACTCCATCAACAAACTTACACACACACACACACACACACACACACACACACACACACACACACACACACACACACACACACACACACACACACACACACACACACCATTCTATTCACAAATAAAACATTAAAACTATACAACTCATACATGATCACACACTTGATTTGTCCATAACCAGTTTTTATCCTTTGCCTTAAACAAATTGAAAGTCGAGCATTCTCTAATGGGTTGAGGAAGACTGTTCCACAGATGGCCACCCTTGACAGAGAGGACGTTCTGCCCAAATGCTGTCCGTCTATGTGGTATAAACAATTCTCCTCGAATTGTAGCTCGTGTAGTCCTGTTTGAGCTTTCTTTATTCCTAATGAACTGCTTTAGTGGTGGTGGAGCAAGGGAGTGTAAGACTTTATATATTAAACAGACTCTTTTAAGTTTCATTAAGTTATTGAAGTTCAGTAATTTATGTTTTTTTAACATGACAGTGGTGGTGGGAAGTCGGTTTTTGTCAAGTAATTTTAAACTTCTTTTATAAATGTTTTCAATAGTTTTAAGTGTTGTTGGACAAGCAAGTGACCAGGATGTCAAACAATAGTCCATATGAGAGATGATCATTGAGTAAAAATAAGTTTTTGCAACATTCATATTTAGATTATTACGTATATGAATAACATTTCGATTATTAAATTTAAGTACCTGGGACACTTTATTTATGTGACTCTTGAAGGATAATGTTGGGTCTAGAATGACCCCAAGATAGGGCTGGGCGATATGGCAAAAATAGAATATCATGATTTTTCCAATATTTTATCACGATTTAGATTTTATCACGATTTTTTATCCATGAATAGCATAACTTCAATTGCGTATTAAAGAAGAGAAACATTGAATAAATAAACATTTATTCATATAATATAATCAACTCAGTGCTAACACACTTATATTTTAAACTCACACCAGAGACGATAAAAGCCCTGAGAGAAACAATTACAAAACTCAGTTTATCTCGTTTTTCAAGTAACTTAACATAAATTAAAATCGTAAACAGATTTAAAGCGCAAACATGCCAATTGCAAACATATTGTGCAAACATTAACTTGTTCAAAATACTATGTAGCTCCCAGTTGCTCATGTAGTGGATAGTTAAGCTCAAATACGGCTCTGATGTGCGGCTGGACCAGAGATCGCTTGTGGTAGCAAATAACTGCGCATTCTGAATATTTTCTGCAACAAGTCTCTAAATAAAGTAAAATTTTCCAGTGCAGATTGGAGCCAACCCATAGAAGCACTGATTTGATCTCATTTCAGAGAAAAATAGAACAGGTTAGATGCAACTAATAAATAAAATTACTAACAAACTCAGGAATCTTTCTTTGCTTCACTGTTCTGGTGCTGAAAATATCACTAATGCGGATCAAAGGAGATACACAGATGAATGCACCTCTTATTATTTGGAAACTACATTTACTGCAGCTGGCAGAGGCAGAGATTGTTTCTATTGATACACGGATTTACAGAACCATTTTAAATTGTAAAAGGGGAAGACTGCAGGAGGGAGCGGTAAAATACAGGGGGTCCCCAGCAAAAACAAGAAACTTTACGAGTCTGATGAAACCCGCTGGTTTTCCATCAGGCAGTCACGGGGCAGCTCCAACGACCCAGTGACCGAGCTCAGTCCGGTGTCGGTACAGGATCTGCTCGGGTGCAAGATCGGCTCGGGGTCCGTCGACTGCCGATGACGTCTAAGTAGTTGATTGGCTGAACATGAACCTTACGGAATTACGTAATCACGTTACGTTGTTATCATGTTACGTTGGTCCAGGCAAAAGCACCCGGGGGAGCGAGAGGGAAGATGGTGGAGCGGGTAGCCGAGAAGTAGCGTGCTCTGAGTAGCTAACCCTGAATTTATAGCAGATGTAGCTCTATGTAACTCACAAAACTACCTAATACCTATTTCCTAAGCAATAATTACTCTCAAACGCGCCTTTGACCGTCATTGGAAAACTTTGGAAGTTACTCCGGTTGCATGCTGAAGAATGGCTAACAGCAAAGCTAACGGTAAAGCTATCAAAGCCTTGCTACCCCACGACTATGCGTGCCAAGAGGCTATAGAGACCAATTTGAGGGGGACCAAGAATCTCTTAACTTCACCAGGTAAAGCTGCACTGCCCTTAAAAAAACAAAGAGGACATGAAGAGGCTGCTATCAGCGCTGAAGCAAGTGTCATTTTGGCTGCAGTTGAAAGTCTCAAAAATTCAATTGAAGAGCTCCGAGGCGATTTAAAACAAAACACTCTCACCATTGCCAGCATTGTGAAAGCGGTTGACTTCAACAGCGGTGAAATAAAAGATCTCAAAGAAAAGAACAAAGGATTGACTGAAGAGATTAAATTGTTAAAGGCTACAAATCTAGATCTGACAGCCAAATTGCTCCGTGTTGAAAAAATGACGGAAGACCAAGAGTCTTACAAGCGACGATGGAATCTGCGACTCAACGATCTTAAAGAAGAAAAGGATGAAGACACACGAAAAAAGGTAGCTGGCGTTTTAATAAAGATTCTGCCACACTGGGCTGAAAAAGTGGAACTGATCCTGGACACCGTCCACCGCCTCGGTACCCCCCTCAACGGCCGTCCCCGACAGATCATCCTACAATTCTCGCTGAGAACCTACAAGGAGGAACTCTGGCGTGCCACCAAGGGCCACCCGATCTGCAGGGAGCTGAACATCAAATTTGCTGAGGATCTCACCAAGGAAGAGAGAGAGGCACGGCTGGCCGTATGGCCAAAGGTGGAGCAAGCACGCAAGGCGGGGCTGAAGGCGATCTACAGGGGTCGTCATGCATACATCAACGGTCAAAAGATAACTCCTTAATTAGCACTGGAAATGGGTTTTAAATCCATATATGTGAGCTAAAATGTTCATTTCTATCTCAGGGTTCTGCTACTTGTTACGTTCTTCTAAGGTAACACGCACATAATTTGTTCTGTTATTTGTGTTACATGTTTTTGAAAAGCAACCTTTCTTTAATTTCAATTAATGCAAGGGGATTAAGAAACATAACTAAAAGGAAAAGTCTTTTCCTGTTTTGCAAAGGGAAAAATGCTAATATAGTATTACTACAAGAAACTCACTCCAAGCCTGAGGACAACACTTTTTGGTCTAAACAGTGGGGCGACGGAGCTTACTTCTGCCACGGAACTTCGAGGTCAGCAGGGGTCGCTGTTTTACTAAAAAACTTCCAGGGCCAAGTTATCGCTCAACACAAAGATGAACATGGTCACTGGTTAATCCTTGTTATTGATATTGATAATGCAAAATTTATTTTAACAAATCTGTATGGGTACAATACTATACACCAAAATAAACTACTGTTAGAAGTAATAGCCTCACAGCTTGAGCATCTTAAAGTATCATACTCCACCAACAATGTCATTGTTGGGGGAGACATTAATATGGTTCAGGATGATTTTTTGGATAAATGGCCCTCTAAATATTCCTCAAGTCACCCAAACTCCATCCTTAATAACTTTTGCTATGAACAGAATTTAGTGGATGCTTGGCGTCAT